GTTGTAAGCCACCAAGTTTGTGGTAATTTGTTACCGCACTCTAGGAAACTAGCATGTTAAGCTGAGCAGGGCAACTTCCTAAAGATACTTACTGTATATCAGAAATCTCCCAATAAGTTAGGCCAGCCAGAGAATTCTACAGGGAGCCCACTGCTCCATAAAGATGCTCACAAATACATATCTTCTGATAAATTATTGACTTGATTTTTCAATGTTTTAAAATAGACAACTTTAAAGATGGGTTTTAAAAAGCCAAGGCCTACCACATATTTGAGGAAATCCTGTACTATTAAAAGCAGACTAGGGCTGGGGACATAGCTAAGTTGGTAGAGGGCTTGCCTAGCATGTACAAGTCCCTGGGTTCAATCCGTAGCACACACACCCCCCCATCCCCACCAAAAAAAGGCAGACTAAGGCAAGCAAGTAGAAACAAGAAACTTGGTGGAAATAGAGGCATGCAGGAAGGTGGACACTTTAAAAAACTGTCATTAATATCATCAGTGATAAGAAATTATAGCAATAGGCAAAAGAAGGATACTACAGAAAAAAGAAGATTCAGAGGAAAAAAAAAATATGCCCTTGGAAATCAAAAGTGTGAAAGCAGAGAGAGAAACTTAATAAAGGGTATGTAAGATAAAGTTGAGAAAGTAGAACAAACAACAAAGAAATGTGAAATGGAAAAAGATTAGAGAAAATAGAAGCAAGGAAATTATCAAATGATACAAAAAAGTATTAGCAGGAAAGATAAGAATCTCTAGATACTTGGTGCCAAACAGAGTCCCTTCAAAGCCAATGGGAAAAGATCCCCTGAGGCAAACCAGAGTGAAGTCTCACAATGTCAGCAGTAAAGTGGGATTCTAAACACTTTCAGAAAGAGCAAATAAACAAAACTCACCAAACATATAATCAACAACAGGTCCTGTGAAAAGGATTGGGGTCAGAGTGGCCCCAGAACTACCCAGCACCAGGAAAGCCCTAAACAGAAGCAATGATTCCAACCTAGAATTTTCTGCTTCACTAAACCATCCAAAAAAGGTGTGTGTGGAATTGAAGCCACAGAGTAAGTATGCACCAAGCACCCGGAACACATCAAACGTACATTAATTTCCTTCCTGAATGCGTTCATACAGGGGTGCAGAATAGAGTCAGCACAGAGCTGGGTAGAGCTCAGAAATGCAACCAGCCCGAAGAAGGGGACCTTTACCAAAGGAAAGAGGAATTCATGGATCATTGGCTGCCTTTGGTTATGGGGGGAAAAGTACTGAAAGACCATCAGAATAATCTGGAGGAATTTGTGATAGATACATTAAAAACTGACCAAATGCGACTGTAGCTCAGTAGTACAGTGTTTACCCAACATGTGCAAAGTCCTGGGTTCAATCCCTGGCTCCTCAAATGAATGAATAAATAACCAAACAAATAGGAATTGTAAGAGTTAAATAATAATAAAAAAAATTCTGTAAGAAAGAAGAAACAGCAATAGTGCATAAAGACTCAGCACTGTCAACATTTGTGTAGTTGGAATAATCCAGACCCCAGATTATTTTATTTAGTAAACATTATGCTATATGTACTGGGAAGATGGACAGAGGGAGAAAGTTTTCGGGCCCTAAGGATGATCTTATTTATGTCAGCCAAAGATGTTACATAATATATAACACAATAAGATGCCAATAGATAAGTTTTGAAGTATATAAAACAGAAAATAGCATAAAATGCAATAGTTTGTAATATGAAGAACTGAAAGAGAGGTTGGTTTGTTGCCTGTGGGCAGTGATTCTGGCGGGTAGGAGGGTATTCTGCTTGTAGTCATAAGCATCTTAGTTTTGACCTATTTAATCATGGATAAGCTTCCTTGATAAAAATAAATTTAGAAGTTTAGCAATATTAAAATTCTTTTGCAAATTAGGTTTTTTTGTGTTTAGAAGAACCATAGCCTTGAGGAATATAATTATTTACTCCTCTACAAACAATTCTATTTGTTTTATAATTTGCACTCACTGGGAAAGTTTTGCAAGAAAACTGACAGGAAATCTGGGGATAAAAATGAGCGTCAGGGCTTGGGTTGTGGCTCAGCAGTAGAGTGCTCGCCTAGGATGCGAGAGGTGCTGGGTTCGATCCTCAGTACTACATACAAATAAATAAATAAAGGTACTGTGACCAACTACAACTAAAAATAAATTTAAAATATACATTTTTAAAAATTAGCATCAGAGGGCTGGGATTATAGCTCAGGTGGTAGAGTGCTTGCTTCACATGCACAAGGCTCTGGTTCAATCCCCAGCACACACACACACACACACACACACACACACACACAAATTAGCATCACAATGTGGATATTTTATCAATCTATGACTGGTTGCTACACCTTGCCCATCTGGTGTGTACCGACCTTTAGCAAGAGGACCAATGGCTGTTGTCTCTTGTAGACGACATTGAACAATGACAGTGAATAAGGAAAAGAGAACAGAGATTAGTCTTGAGTAATGAAAAACATCAAAGTGTAGTAACTTATTCAAAAGTTGCAAGAAGTTCAAAAGCTTAGGGAAGATTCAGGCAATTTAGCATTATTGAAAAAAGCGGTCATCTTTGCAATTAAGCATTTCATGTTTTTAATAAAAATAGAAGGAAAAAAACCAGAATAGGTTTAATGAAAAAGCAAAGTCTTTGGGCTTGAAGTTGAGAAGGTCCAGGCTTGACTGTTGGGGCTGCCTCTCCCAGTTCTGTGTCTTGGTGGCAACATTCAGCCTGCTCAGAACCGGCTTTCTGTCTGTGGATGGGGATAAATATTAGGTTTATAAGATCATTGTGGGAACTGTTTAGGATGGTGTGTGTGAAAGCTCTTCAGGGCCTCAACAGCACTATGGAAATGTAAGAATCCTCTAAATCAAACATTACCTTAGGCTTGTCTTTTAGCTCCAGTTGCTGAAGACAGCAGGTGGCTTGGATATTAAATAGCATACAAAATTTCCAAATGAAGTCCATAGGAAATAGGGTACAGTGAGGGGGCTTTATGTCCTGTCACCCTGCCAACCTATTCCAGACAGGAGGCAAATCAAGATGAAGCATGCAGGCGGCCATTGACCTCTGTTGACTTGTCAGTGCAGTGCAAACCTGCCACGTAGCCCCAGGAGGGCCTCAGCATTCAAGTGTGTGATTGCAGGAGTTTGCTGCTAAGATGCTATTTAAAGGAGCCCCTGATGGAGAGGATGGAGGGTTGGGAGCTGAGTGGGGCTCACACTTCACCTCTCACTGTTAGGGGTTTTACCATGTTTTCCTAAGCGTCAATCCTTACTGCTTGAGTTTGGCTAGAAATTCATCAGTATTGTCTTTAGTATGTCTTGTGCAGTGTCCAGACATTTCTGAGCACTCACAGAATGCTTGCTAATATTTTCATGGAATTGATGAATTTTTCAAATAGGTTGTTTTTTTTGTCACCACGCTCTGCTTTGTGTCTTCAACTAGTAGCACATTCTCCCGCTCACTGGCCGTTTCTGCATCCCAGCTTGAGGGCTTGTGATTGGTGGTTTTGGATCCTCTGGCTCCTCGTAGTCCCCGTCTCCTGTAGTCCTGAATACATGGCTTCACAGAACGTGAACAGCCTTCTCACGGCACTGATCGATCAATTTGGTTCTTTCTCTCTCTTGTTAATTTTAATTTTTTTATATGTGGTTCTTTCTCTTTTGTGAGACATTGTTGACATTTTAGACCACACCTGCTAAGTCTATGGTGGCAGGTCACTTGCAATTTTCACTATTTGTGGAATTTTTCCGGTGCCCCGCCTGGCAGAGAGGTGAAGATAAACTTTACTCGAAGGATGCATCTGCCATTGTCCCATTCAAATGGGGACAAGATGCTGTGTTCCCTTTCACACTGGGAGACTTTAGCCACATGACAGCTTCTTTCTCCTCTGAAGAGTTTCAGTGCTGTTAGACTATTTAGGAAAACTTAGATTTCACCAAAACATAAGTATTGACTTAGTGACAATGAGAAATATAATTGAAATAATATGAAATACTGGCTCACAAGATCAGCTCCTCTCTCATTCTCCATTAGTATTTTTAAATGTCAGTGTTAAGGGAAGATTGTAAGGCAGGATGGGTCTTAAATCAAAATAGCACTCTTGTCTTTTATATTTTGCAGTGCTAGGGATCAAACCCAGAGCCTTGAGCTTGGGAGGCAAGTGCTCTAGCACCAAGCTGCACCCCAGACCCAAACGTCACGTTCTGTGTGTTTTGGTTTAGAGAAATTATTCCTGAAGAGTTTTACTTTTTCTAATGCTCAATGTGTGATGTTTATGCTGCGACCTTGAGAGAGACTCAATGATAAGAGCACATGCTGCCTCCCTGGTAGGATAACAGGTTTGACTCTTGTGGATTCCCTTAGTCTTCAGGGCTGCCCCGTGGCCAGCCCTGGCCAGGGTGAGTGACTGGCATGAAGTCGCTGTGGTTAACCTACCCCTATCCCAGCCCAGGCACTGGCCCCCGTCTTACACTGGTGCCCTCTCTAGTTCTCATTTTTCTCTTGCTGACCTTTGTGCTCCTGAATGACCACAGTACCTGCACACACACAGGTGAGACCGTAGAGTCCCATTCTGCTGTGGAGAGGGCAGTTTTCTTCCTCCGTGTTCATGATGATCAGGCTTCAGGGCTGGTGTGAGGAGTGTGTTGCAATGGCTGCCGCATAGTGAGCAGGATTTTGTCAGCGGAGTTGCGTTGGTTATTGATTTTAGTCTATGCTTCATGGAGAGCCTTGGTCTCATAGTTGAAGGACTGGTTGCCTATTAAATCCGAAAGATGGGTATGAAGGTTGAGATCATGATCATTCTCCAAAAACAACGTCAACCACCAATAGACCCCCCAGGACTCAGCCCTGCTCAGTTAAGCTCTCTGCACTGTATCCAGAGAGCTGCAGGAATCAGACCTCATTGTGTAATAGCCTGGAGGGATGGGCCTCAGGAAATCGCAAGAACCTTGCTAACCTTCTGTTTTGCTTAGATGAACAACGTGACAACAGACTACTGTCTTGACATCATAAAGAAGTTCGAAGTTTCAGAAGAAAATAAGGCGAAAAATGTTCTTGGCATAGAAGGTAAAGCAACCAGTAGTCCTAATTTCTCCTTTCTTGATTCAATCTGCTGAGTTAAATTCCAGAACAATTTTCAGGAAAAAGAAATTGGGAGATGTTAATGAAATTACAGATGATTCAAATAAACCCCACAAAGCACCCATTTTCCTATAGAGCAGCTGCCCTTTTGTTGGTCTCTCTCTTTCAAATGCCTATGAGCATTTGCCACTTCAGGCAGCCTACTGATGCCACCCTGTATGATGCGTGCCAAGAGATATTTGGGTGTTTCTCAAATGGCTGAATTTTGGAAATGGTCTCATTCCCAGTGATTACATGAAGGGAAATTTGGCCCTAAAAAAACCTAATCTACAGTACTAGTGACTTGAAAGTAAACATGTTCCTTTACAAAATGTTAGTAACTGATTTGTTTTTCCTGATTTGTGGCAGTATGGAAGCTTTTGGAACCGAAAGTCTTGCTAATACACTTCATTGTATAGCAGAGGAAGTGAGGCCCCCTCAAATAATAGGCTGCAGTTATGCACTCAGAATCGGCTCCCAGAATTGTACACATGGTGTAAATAAGCTAACCATATCTGAAAGTCATGTGCATTTAAAATATATGGGGACATGAGTTCTGGTGGGAACCCAGAGGAGGCTTGCTAGAGCAGAGCAGATAATCCCAGATACTACCAGGGACCCCACGAGCATCCGGAGCCATAGCTGGGCTTTCCATATCTTATTGCCAATCTCCTGGTTTCCCTTGCACCTGGGGTCAGTGTGGACAAAAGGGTTTTAATTTTTTTTTTTTTTACTTTTATTTATTTCTTTCTTAAAGAGGTGGGGCCTTGCTAAGTTTTCCAGATTGGCCTCCACCTGTGATCCTCCTGCCTCAGCTTCCTGGATGGCTGGAAAGTTGTTCTTAACTCCCAGCCCTCTCTGACTGCTTACCTTCCAGTCAGGAGAGAGAGAGGTGGACCAGCAGTGGGGAGACATAGCGTTAGTCTTAAGTCTCAGAGGAGACTTACAGATCTGATTTCACCAAATGATTATCAAAGACTCGAATGAATTTACCCTAATAATCATTCCTCTGGGCCACTTGTGCCTTGTTCGTGCATTTGCAGGCCTCTCACACTTTGAGAGGTTGTAGGAAAGTGATGGGAATGTCTGCGGAATCCTTGAGCACTGTCTCAGAGTTGTAAAATGTGCTAGCCATTAACAGCCTTTTCTCAGACTAGTTTAGCACCCAAATCATCCCTCTTTGAGTCCAGACTATGTTTAGCTTTTGACAGGCCACTTCATGGCTATTCAGACCAACTTCTCCCCTATCTATTGCAGGCCAGTCAAGGGCCCCTGGGTCTCTGGCACTGAGGAGGACTGCTGGGTTCTCCCCGCCCATGACAGCTCTCTAGGCTGTTCCCCCTGGTCCCATTTCCATTTTCTGGCACTCTGTGACCTCAGGCAAATCGCTCAGGGGCCCAGCCTTCCTGCAGAGGCTACTCTAATTGCTGAGAGCGTCCTCCACCCGTCTGGGTCTATGGAGTGGTCAGTAGATCTGCTCTGATTCCAGCGCCTGACTCTCTCTCTTTGAAGGCTTCACGAACTTCATGCGCAGTCCTGCCTGCGATGTGTTCAACCCCTTGCACCACGAGGTGTACCAGGACATGGACCAGCCGCTCTGCAACTACTACATCGCCTCCTCCCACAACACCTACCTGACCGGTGACCAGCTCCTGTCCCAGTCCAAGGTGGACATGTATGCGCGGGTGCTGCAGGAGGGCTGCCGCTGTGTGGAGGGTAGGTGCCGCTGGCTGGGCCCCGCAGGGTTGGAGACACATCCTCTGATCAGGCTGCCTCAGACCTCAAACACCCTGGTGCCCATTAGAGCTGTTGGGCTGTTCACTGGGAAGCTGTCCTGGCAAAATAGAGCAGGGCGAGGGATGGATGGCACTGAGGGGGTCATGGTCAGGGCTGAGGGGACTGCCACAGGGGCTTTTAAGTCACAAGGGACACTGATGGTGGGTTGGAGGTAAAAACCAGATGTGCAAAAAGCGTGCTATAGGAAAGGTGCTTGAAAGACCTGAGAAGGCAGCATTGGGTAAAGTGATCGTTGGCAGAGGAGAGTTTTGGGAGTGTAGGTCAGTTGTTCGCAGGTAATAGCAGGGGCTGGGTATGCCTATGCTTCTGTGGTTCACACAGAGCGTCTGTGGACAGAGGCGGCTGTGCACCAAGGTAAGCTGGTGACTAACTGCAACCTGACCAAGGAGGGAGAATCCTGAAGGGTCTGGAGGCAAAGGGTGTTTGTTTTTGATGGAGTAGAGAAGCCCTGGAGCCCAGGGGCATCGCTTTGTGGTGGAGGTGACCTGATGGCAGCAGGATAACTGGTTGTCCTCTAGTTGGGGGCCAGAGTTGGAAGTGAAGAAAGCATGGAGCCTTCCTGCTGGCTAACTGGCCGGGCAGCTATCTTTGTCACACAGTTGCTAGCTTGAGGGATTTTTTGCTATGAAGGTGACAGTAATGTTATCAGGGTGAATCAACATGTTTAAAAGTTGGGCGGGCTTTACACACTATGCGCACACAGAACCACTAGGTCCTCTACAAAATGAGTGCTCTGAAGCTTTAGTTTTTATGACCATGTTGTTGCAGGAAATACCAACCTACGATAGTGACTGACAGTTGAGCAGCCTGAGTGGCTGAATAATGAAGATGCTGATAAAATATTAATACGAGGAGAAACCTTTCAGCAGCAAAAAGTCTTGAGGTGACCTTTGCTCTCAGCTAGTTGTTTGCCTTAGCTGGCCCAGCACTTGGTGGGGTTTGCATGTTTGACAGGCAATGGAGGTGTCCAGCACATGGCCCTTGCTGGATTTACATGGACGGATGCCCATCACTTAAAATTGTGCCATTTTCTTGGAGCCAAGAACAGAAACCATTCAGTGACTCCATGAGTGACGATCGACTCGGGATGACTGGCAGCTTTGCTGGGCCTGCATCCTCTGCCCTGTTTTCTCTGCTCTTTGGGTTCTTCAGATGCCTGCCTTATTTTTTCTTCTCTTACCTGTCCCAACCTGAGTTCTGCTTAAATCTAACCACGTTGCTATGATGGGCTCCTTACTCTAAATCAAAACTCCTGATCCTTCAGCTCTGGTTGGGGGTATTGAGAAATGAGACTTCTCTGATTATTAAATTTACGGTAAGTTCCACATGAGTCCTCATGCTAGCATTCTCAGTTGTCTTACCGTGCTAAAATGGGGGCGTGGAGATTGTGTACGGAGGATGCTGGACATGGGCCTGCTCTTAGGCTTTCTTTCTTCCTGAGATGAAGAAAGAGACTGCGAACACATTGCTTAGGGCCTCCCTAAGTTGCTAAGGCTGGCTTTGAACTTGCCATCCTCTTGCCTCAGCCTCCTGAGCCCCTGGAATTACAGGCATGCTCCACCATGCCCACCCAGCTGTGGGGCAATTTTAAATGTGATCGCCCGAGTACTCTGTCTCTCTCACCAATATGCACCATACATCCCTCCCAGAACTTGTCACAGAGCAGTTCTTCCTATTAGAATGATCTGTAGCAGGACAGTGAAAGTTGAACTACTATCCTGGAAAGTTTTTCTTGGGAAGAAGAGTTGCATTTTTCTGGGAGACTTTTTGCTTGCTCTATTTCCTGTTGAACACTACGGTTGTCACCTTAGATTTGAACTGTATTGTGAGAGGGAAAGGGGAGCTGCTCTGATTTGTCCCTTTTGGGTTGGGTCCTGGCTAAGTGCTTCGCACACATTCTCATTTTCTTCCAGCAACACCCCCATGGGGTATGGAACCATTTCTTCAGGATGTTAACCTGGGGTGAATCACTCAGGTTCCTGCAGCCTGGGAGCTGGGATTTAAACCCAGATTATTCATACTCCCCAGCTCTGCTGTTCTCCAGGGGCCTGTGCACCTCTCGGAGGAGCTAGCCCTGGGTGACCTGGCTAAGGGCTGAGCGAGGGCCCTCAGGTCCTGGAAGACAGCTAGAAAAAGCATGGAGCGCTGCACAGGAGGGGGAGCAGGCTATGTCCTGACTGCGCCTCGCCCCTGAGGTTTGGACTTCCCCACAGACTAAAAACTTGGCCACACGATCTCTGTGGTCTCTGTACAATTTTTATGAGCCCCACGTTCTGAAAATCTCAGTTCACACTTAGAGCTTGGGTGGGGACATCCATGTATTTTACAGCCAAGAGCACTTTGTTTGCCTCAGATCTGAAGTTGTTTGTATTTTTAAATAGCTACAACTGGGATTTAAAGAGACCTGGTTTATAGAAGATGGCAGGTCATAGGTCTCATAGGTTGTTTTTTGATGTAGCTTTTGCTGAGTATAATAGAGAAAATAGAGTACTGTGACCTGAAGGGTCGCTCGTCTTTCAAACTTTGGTTTCACTAACGTTGTGTTTCCCAGGACGTCAGTGGCAACAAGGTTCTCGGGGGCTTGGGGAGACCAGTAAGTCTTGGTGGTGAGGTGGGTTTGTCAGCAGACCCAGCAGGTGCTATTCCTAGCCTGGCCTTCCTTCCCTTGCTTCGTAGCCTGAGCTGCTTAATGAACATGGTTGCTCTGTCCAAGGATTTCGCTCTCATCCTGGGGCCAGTGTTGCGTTCTGTTGTAATTGGTTTATGACTCTTCCTGTTATCTTGGGGAGCCCTACCAGGGTGGAACGTCTCTAAGTTCCATTATGAAAAGCTGTGGGGTTGGCAGCTTGGCTTCAGAAATGACCAGCTCTCTGTCAGGGTGTCTCTGGGGCCACTAGTGTGTAGCCATGTGTGTCTGGGGGAGTTAGGCGGAGGGTGTTCCCATGCAGCATTAACCCTTGCAGGACACCCTGCGGCCAGGGGACCTGACGATGAATCCCGTGTGTTCAGACTCAGTGCTATTCGGGAGTGGCATCATCTTCATTTGACAGACAGTTGATGGAGTCAGACATTCAGTGGAAGAGCTGCTGCTGTCGATGGGGGATACTCTGCCCGTGTGACGGAGCTAGCAAGCGCTCCCTCTTTCCCGATGGCTGTGGTTTTAGGAGCTCTCTTGCATGAAGTGAAAAACAGGTCAGGCATGGCTTTGACTTGCCCCTTCACATGGAGTTTGGAATGACACGAGGTTATTTATGAGGACCCTGTTATATCCATTCATCCCTAAGATGGGACCGTCAATCATGTAGAAAGTTGTTGAAATTATTCACCATCTTTCATCACCTGGTGATGGGATAGGTTCTGGGAAATGTGTTCATCAAACCATATAAAACACATCCCTGGTGGTGCTGATCCACCATCCAGAGTGGCCTCTTGTTGCAATCAAGAGATGCAGTAGACATTGGATGTCTGAGGCTGTGCCAGTGTAACATGGCATGCTGTTTCATGGAGAACTTAAAAATTTTTTTTTTTAATAATCTTACTGGACCACCATTGCATAGCTGGTCTGTCATTGATCAAAACACCATTATGAGTCATATGACTGTATTCTTTAAACTTCTGTTCTTTCCATGCCTATATCCAGAGATAAATTGGAGAATCTCCAGTACATAACAAAACAAATCAACCTCTGTCTTTGATGCATTCACAGTCCCCAAGGGCACTGTGACACTATGGGACAGGACAGTGGTCTTCCGCACAGCTTCTTTATCCTTAAATTCTGCTTCCAGGATTCCTGTGCAGTGACCTTGGAAGTTCTTTCTTTTATCCCCTCCACACCCCCCCCCGCCCCTGGGGAAGACATTTGAGCAGCCAGTGCTCAGTGGATTTACACCGGTGACTTTAAGGTTGCCCAGAGAAGCAAAACCAATGTGAGATGCAGTTTAGATGAGGTTTAGAGAAAGAGGTTGGAATTGGGATTGGTTGACTGGTTTGAAGAGGTTGGCTCACATGACTGTGGGCATTGGCAGCCTGTGTAGCTGACTGGCAGGATGGAGACTGGCAGGGCTGACCTGGTAGTTATGGCTGTGAATTCCAAAGTGTAGCAGGCTGGGGACACAGGAAAGGTTTCTGTGCCACAGCCTTGAGAAGAATTTCTCCAGCTGTGGGAAGTGCCATAGTAAGGCCTCAGCTGACTGGGTGAGGCCCACCCACCGCACAGTCATCTGCTTCCCCCAGAGCCTGCTGATTCAGATGTCAGTCACACCCAAACGTGTCTTCATACCCAGGTCTCGACTGCTCTTTGACTCAACAGTGACCATCCTTGACTAGTGCAGCTGACACCTAGAATAAGTTGTCACTGTCACCTTATGGTCATGTGAGCCTTTTGACTGCTGCAAAGGAAATGGAGCTGTCACCCGTTTCCTAGGGAAGTAGGTTCAGATGTGGGATAGGTTCTGCTGAAACAGAGGGCAGGTGTGGGGGTCCTATGTGGTCCTGATAGAAGACAGAGTTGAGGTGCCATTCCACTAGCCAAACCCAGCTTGCAGACTGTGTGTGTTTAGATCATATTATGCTTTTAAAAGTGAGTTAATTGCCAATATCTAAATGTTGTGAAATTTTATAGTAGTGAAACCTAGAGTTTTTACTTTTCTCAGATCTGCCATCAAGGACTCTTTCTCCTATCTAGTGCTGAGAGCACAGTTACCTTGTGTCCTTGTGTTGGCCTGGTTCCTGTCGGGCTGCCATTCAGGTGCTATTGACTGCTGGTCTCTGGTGTCTGTCTGTGACCTGCTGCCATAAGGGAGGGTCGGGAGGCTTGGTGGGGTGGCCCAGCTCAGCCTTGAATGGGCTTGGCTAAGCCGAGTGAAAGGGGCTTCAGCTGACCACAGAGGCATGCAGGAGGGATTCTGGGGAGAGTCCACTGACTGGAAGGGCATGGCTGTGAGGGAACAGGAGGTATCAAGTGACTTGTGAGACGCGAAAGTGGTCCGAGCTCCTTCAGAGCTCCTCTCTGCTTCACCAGCTGAGGTTACTTCCTGTGTCCGTGGAGCCCAAGCAGGTGCGAGTCTGCCAAGCAGTGATGTAGGACTCAGGTTCCCAGCGGGTGCCGTGCCATCTTCAGCACATGACTTGAAAGCCACAGCAGGGGAAAGGGGACAATGACTCCCGAAGGAGGTTCCTTTGGCCAGACCTGGAAGTGGCACTGTCCTTTCTGCCCGTGTCTCTCGGGCCACACCCAAGTGCAAGGGCAGGTGGGAGACTGTGCGCAGTGCTGTGCTGGGCAACTGAGGACACAGGCTAGCCAGTGCCCAGGAGCCTCTAGTATGCCATGTAACTACATGGAGCCAGCAGCCAGAGCTGCCACAGGACATTTGTCAGCACCTCCCAGATGCTGTGCAGTGGGCCACGGAGGCTTTTGAGCACATAAGTGACGGGGCAAAAGCAGAGTTTTAGGAAATCAACGTGGGGCCCAAGGTAAAGCACGGGAAGCCCCCTGGTCAGGGAGGCAGTTCCTCCCGGGAACCAGCATTATCCTCCATGTATACCCAGCAGTGACATCCAGGATGTAAGTTACCCTGTGTCCGCGGCGTCATGGCCACCTTATGGGGACTTTGTCATCACCAGGAAGTGCAGTTGTTGTTTCTCTTTCACAAGATTCAAATGCTTGGATCGTTTGCAGGTAGTCGCATGGATTTTGAAGAACCTGAGGATTTGAACTCACGGAGTCAGTGCTACTTTTTATTACTGTACAATTAATAAAACAGGAGTAAGTCAAATGGAAACAGTGAGTTTGAGTGAGCAATCATGAAAAGCCTTGTTAGCAATTTGAGAGTCACTGTGACTTACCTCAGAAACCTGGGGAAGAAACTCGGACATTTCTGCTAACAATGATTATTTCTTGGGGCACACTTGGCAAGATTTGCATTACCTGCTCACAAAATTTTTGGTCAATGCTGGACTGAAAAGCAATGTGTCTTTGTAAACTATAAGCACTAACTAACAACAAACCATGTGTTATCTTTGAATCTTTGTCCTGATAAACACACCAGAGCACCCATCTCTCTATCTGAAATCTTAATCATGATTGCAATGGGTATACTTTCAAATGACAAACTGAAAACATGTCTGATATTTCCAGAAATGTCCGTAGGTACCAGAGACGCTGTGTGTTGATACGAGGTTCTGTTTTTTGGCAGTGGACTGCTGGGATGGCCCTGATGGAGAGCCAGTGGTACACCATGGCTACACTCTGACTTCAAAAATTCTCTTCCGAGACGTTGTGGAGACCATCAACAAGCATGCCTTCGTGAAGAACGAGTAAGTACCGCAGGCCTGGGACCCAGGCTCCCCTGCTGCCACACTGCCTGGGCCGAGCCGCAGAGCCAGCCAGCGCCCTTCCCTGGGCTCCAGGTCTCATCGCCTCCGCCTGGTCTTCTCCTCCCCCAGCAGGTGTCACCAAGAGATGACAGGGTTCAGCCTCTGGTTTCCTGTGTTCAGTTTACTCCTTGCCCATTCCATCTGGCCTCCTTGAAGTTGTCCTTGCAAATACCGACCTGTAAATCTGTGAACCCAGGGTGTGAGGTGTGCGTAAAGGCTGGGAACCAGTTACTGTGCAGGATCTATGTTTTTGGTGTGACCTGCTATCCAGGTCTGAGGAACTACCAGTGACCTGGACGTCCCCAGGGGCCGACAGTCTTGTGCTGCTGATTGGCGTTTGACAGTGGCGTTTCCTCCCTGGTGCGAGCTTTGCCCACGCCGTCGCCTCCTCTCCAGGGCCAGTGCGGCCTCCTATTTTGGCCTCTGGTCCTCTACTCCCTTTCCTCGCTCCCTTAACAGTCACTCTTTCCTTGGGTGTTACTCTTTATTTTTGGATGTTTACTTAATATATGCCCAGGCTTCTTTCCTAAGTCCAAGATTTATGTGGAAAATGCATAGGAAGTATTTGTTGGAGTTACCTGTCAGTGCAGAAGCCACACGCTGAGCAGAAGGTGAGACTCAGCCACCTCGGGCTCATGGCCCTTGCCGGACTCAGCAGCTCCTTCTGCCCCTGCTCCATTTCCTTTTCTCTAGGGCAGCTCTGCCTGTTAGCAGCTGGGCCGGGACCCCCCCCCCCCAGTCCTTCTGTTGGCAACCAGCTCCTCTCAGTTTTGCTCCCTGATCATCCGTGCCCTGCCTTGCCACCCTACCTGCTGTCTTGTTCTCTGCACCATGCCTTAGTCTTCCTTTGGAAGTAACGCACACTGTGATCCTCACCTAAACGTCCGTCAGAAACTCCTTACTGTGCTTGGCACCCCTGCCTGCCCTCTGTGCCTTCAGGGACCAGCCCTCAGCTCCCCCACAGGCCTGGCACTCGGGTGAGTGCAGATCTCTCTGCCTGGACTCCCTTCCCCACTGTCCACCTGCTGGATTCTTCCTTGTCCTACAGGGTCACTTATGCACTGTCCCTCTGGCAAACTACTGACCCACCAGATGATAGAATCTTCTTTCCCCCTGTATTTAGCACCCTGAGCCTATTTCTGCCGCGTCTTCTAACAGCCTGTGACAATGGTTGGTGACTTGCCATGAGACTGAACTCAGGGAAATAGGCGCTGTGTCAGCCACCTCTTATTTACTCTCTGTTGCCTCGCTGGTGCCTGCAATGTACCAGCAGACCAGAAAGGGTTTTTGAATTAAAGAAGCAAATTAAAATTACAGTTGCATAAAATTAATATTTTGGAAGTTAGTAGCCTTTAAAATTTTTAATATTTGGTCTTATTAATTAACCATGAGGTTTAAATGCTATTCTAATACGAGATCCTTGCTGTATAATTCATGGTGTCTTCTACATTCAAGAATCTTGAGCTGTAAACTCCAACCGGTCTTCTCCACAACCCTGACTTCTGCCAATCCTAGCGGAGTAGCCATGCTTTCCCAGCACGCTTCCTGAGCACCTTGGAGGACTCCCCAGCCTTGTGACTGCTCACTGCAACTTGGGAACCCTTATAGGAAATGTGTTTTAAATTAAAAAAAAATTAATACTCTTATTTAGTACATTTAAAAAATTGGGTCTTCTCCTTTTCTTTCTCACACTGTGGCCACATCTCTTCACCAGGGTTTCTGCTGAGTGATTTTTTGTTGTAGAGCACTGTCTTGTGTATTGTAGGATGGCTTCTACTCACGAAATGACAAGTGGCACCCTCTGAATTGTGACCACAAAAATGTCCTAAGACATTGACAAATGTCCCTTATGGGAGGGGACACAAAATCATCTCATCTCCTGTTGAAAAGCACAGTCTTACTCTAGCATGAGCTGGTACAGGCTTTTAATAAACAGATTGATACTTTAAAATGTTATTGTTAAATTCTCTGCTGTGAATGCAAGACATCTCAGGATTATTTGTTCTTTTCTCCTCCAAAACGTTTCTGGCATACTCTAGGAAAAAAAATATTGCCTATTATTTCTAAAAATAGGAGATACAAAATAAGAAAAAGAATCAATAGATCTGAAAGCAAAGTAATTTTTTTGTGTGTTGTGCTAAAGATTGACCCCAGGGTCACTTCTGCACTGAGCTGCACCCCAGCCCATTTTATTTTTTATTTTAAGACAGGGTCTCACTAAACTGTGCAGGCTCGACACCTCAGTCTCCGGAGTTGCAGGGATTACAGGTTGTCGCCACCACACCCAGCTTCAGAGTAATTTCTCATTCTGAAGAAAAGAAAAATGTTGAGAGAGGAGTGCAGTTCAGCAGTGAGCACTGGCTCCCTCTGCCATGGCCACCAGCCCCCAGGGTGTCCTTGGGTGTCATTGTACGCAGGCTCCACATCTGTAGAGAAACCCGTGTGTTGGTGGAGAATGATGCTTGCCCATTTGTCTTAGTAAAAGAGCAACATATAATTCTATTAAAAAAGGATTTTGAGATGCCTGACATAAGAGGCTATAAAACACAAGGGTTTATCATCTTATTTTATGTTCAGTAGTAATTTTCAAGCTGAGAACTGATTATGTTTTTTTTTTAAGAGGAAATGACTGCATTTCCTGATATGATGGCTTAGCTGATGTCTAGACTTTTGAAGAAATAATAAAAAATTCTATTGTGTGATTTTCCTTTCCTTAGGCTTCTCATTTCTTTAAAACCCTTTTTTTTTCTTTTAAAAGATACCTTTTTTTTTTCTTCTTTTAAAAGATACATAGCAAACCCACCATTATTTTCCCCTGGTGCAGAATATTAGATCAAGTCATCCCACGTGGGTTGGTCTTTTGTTCAGCCATTATCCCCTAAAAAGTGCATTTGCTCAGGAGAATTTGTTCAATGCATGTCTAACTCCCCTTTTAGAAGCATTTTAATTGTCACCACTATGGCAGGCCATGTCGCCAGGATTGTAAGAGCACAATGACTACAGAACCATTTTCACCAATCCCTGCCTTGCCTGTCTCTGATCCTGTTGCCGTTCCCAGGTTCCCTGTTATATTGTCTATTGAGAACCACTGCAGTATCCAGCAGCAGAGGAAGATCGCTCAGTACCTGAAGGGAATCTTCCAGGACAGGCTGGACCTGTCGTCCGTGGATGCCGGAGAGGGCAAGCAGCTCCCCAGCCCTCAGAGTCTGAAGGGGAAGATCCTAGTGAAGGTTAGTACTTCAGGGTTTGCAGGCAGACTCCTGATGACCCACGGAGCTGGTTCCCACATCAACTAAACCCCGGTTTAAAAGGGGGATAATAAGTGCAGCAGTACGTGAAGGAAGGATGGCCCTACTTGAACGTGCATTTGATTTCAGTTTATAGCCATGCTCTCGAGGAAGGGCTGGCTGACCACCTGTGCTGGGCTGGTTTTTACTCAATACCTCGAGCCAGGTGTGCACCATTTTAGTCTGGAAGTGTTCACACAGGGGAGGAATGGAGGAGAGGACAAGGCTCCCCAAAGCCACGTCTGAAAGCATCTCGTTCAGATGCTTTTCTCCCATTTCAAGCTCCAGGAGCTGTCTGTCAAAGGAAAAAAACCCATCTTCATGGTTGATCAGTTTTGGTTATGTAAGTGAGACACGCCGGCTTCTGCAGGAGCAGGCCCAGACATCCTGCCCCCACGGGATGGGCCTGTGTGGAGGCACGGTGGGTGGATGAGTGACACCAATAGATCACCTATGATGGGCGCCATCTGTCCATGCAAAGGACACCATGGGACAGTGGTTCGAGTTTCCACGGCCTCACTCTGTGATTTTGCCCCATTCTTGTGAATTTAATATTTTTTTCTAAAACCACTTTGGACCATTGTGTTGTTTTGAGATAAAATTGAAGTAGAGAGTACTAGGTTGTTAATATTCAAATGGGGTCCTGTACTTGAAAGCAGTGTGCACCAAACACTGAATGTCATCCCGGAGTAGGGAAGTCGAGTAGCTTTGCCTTTCCAGGCAAATCTTTAACTGGGCTGTAAGGGAAAGATGTAAAGTGTGCCTCTTTAGAAAGCTTGTTTTTTATCCATGAAAGGAAAATTAAAGGTTAAGAACCAATTAAAGAGGTGTCATCCATCATTTGTATGTGAAAATGCATTTTGAATGAAAGCTCTAAGTGGCACAGGAGGGAAGTCTGTTTGGGCCAGTGTGCCCAAGTCTTGTTAATGCCAACTCCTGCATTAAAAACCCATTTCTGAAAAACAAAACAAAACCATTTCTGAGCCAGGCAAGGTGGCGCACACCTGTACCTGTAATTCTAGTGACTCTTGAAGGCTGAGGCAGGAGGATTGTGAGTTCAAAGCCAGCCTCAGCAAAAGCAAGGCGCTAAGCAACTCAGTGAGACCCTGTCTCTAAATAAAATACAAAATACAGCTGGGGATGTGGCTCAGTGGTCGAGTCCCCCTGAGTTCAATCCCTGGTAAACCCCACCCCTCGCCTCAAGCAAACAAAAAAAACACCCAAAAACCAAAACCAAAACCAAAAAACTCACAAAAAATCATTTCTGGGTTAGAAAATAAAATGTCACCTTCGTAGTACTGTTTCTGTGTTTCCTCAATATTCTTCAGCCAGCAGTCAGGAGATTATGTAGAGGGAGCCCATTTGATTATTGTCTTTCCTTTGATGGTGGGATTTAAGTGGGTATTTGATGTGAACTAATTGGGTCCCTTCTGCATGAGTTGAAGTGTGGGTCATATGGGCACCAGGAGAACCAGTGGCAGGTCTGTGGCACTCACTGGCAAGGTAGTCACAGTATGTCGACAAGTTGTGACTGTTATACATTTTCCAACCATGCGTATACGTGCAATTACATATAACACACAAATACATGCACACACACACACACATACACACACATCCTGAAAAGGTAACAAGAGTTGCTTTTGAACAAAAATCATAACAAACTTAGCAACTTTTCGTGGATTTTATTGCTGAAAGTAACCACTGCTCTGCGGTCCCAGTTTCCCACTTTCAGGGGTGTGACTCACATCGCTAGGTAACTGGAAGCCAAGAGTGGCCTTTGCTCCTGTCTCTGGCAGTATTTCCTTAATGCATGGATGAAGTAATCTGACTCCAGAGTATTATCAGAAAGGGATTCAGGAGACACCTGGGTCACTCTCATTTACTTCTCCTCTGGTCTATGATCAGATTCACGAAGTTACACAAGATTCTACCAAAGGTTATTCTTGAGTTACCTTTAGGAGTAGCACTGTTGGTAAGAGACATTAAAAACAATATCCTTTTGCTTTTTTTCCTGTCTGCTTGATAAGTAATCATTTTTGTGTGTGTGTGTTTGTGTGTGTAAGAGAGAGAGAGAAAGAGAGAGAGAAATTGCTGTCCCTCATTTCTAATGTCTTGTATAGAGGTCCCTCTTGATATCTGCCATGGTACCCTAGATAAAGTTGATTCTGAGTGAAAGGTGGTGGGGAGTAAATGAAAGGTGTTGATTCTTGTCCTTTCCTGGGAGAGCTGACCATCACTTAATTTATGGACCTTATTTCTGGTGCTGCCATATGATTATAGCCACTGTTCGAGAATGTTCCCTAGAATAAAAGGAAAAGAGACTCGTATTGTAGAAGCCTTCTACATCAATAAGACCTGAAGTAATTAATATACAGCAATAAATGTTTTAGCTGAGTCCAGGGCACACACCTGTAATCCTAGCAGGAGGGAGGCTGAGGCAAGAGGATCGTGGGTTCAAAGCCAGACTTGGCAATTTAGTGAAGCCCTAAGCAACTTATCAAGACTCTGTCTCAAAATAAAACAGAAAAAGGGCTGGGGATGTGGCTCAGTGGTTAAGCACCCCTGGGTTTAACCCCTGGTCAAAAAAAAAAAAAAAGAGAGAAATAAATGCCTTAATTTTAGGCTGTCTTGTAATTGAAATTTTAGGCTGTTTTGTAATTGAAATTTTAGGCTGTCTTGTAATTGTTATTACACAAACTATTCCCCATCTTTTTAATCTTCTAAATGCCCCTTTTTAAGTTGAAGAAAATAAATTTAAGTCTCCAAATCTCAATAATTTTGATTGTGAGCATTTATTTTAGTTTTATTATGTAAGTTATCTAATCAGCTTTGAAACCATGGCAGTGCTAAAGACCCAAGGTCTAGAGCTCTGGTATGGAGGAGGGTGTGGGAAAGAGGGTGGAGACTTCTCTGAGAACTGGCTGGGTGGCAGGCCCCCAGGAGGAGGGGAGGGTAGATGCGGAGGGCAGTGGGCTGAGCTGTGAAGGGCAGAGGCTGGGTTGAGCTCAGCCTCGGCCTGGACGGGGTCTGGGAGGAGAGAGTGCCTGGCTGCCAGGCAAGGCCCGACCCTCCGTGTTTAGGGAGCCCCTCCCTGGGTGTGAAGGAGTCCCCTTGGAGGGGCCAGCTGTGGTGGCCTCTGTTTTGCAGCCTTTCTTAGCCTGGAATGTGGGCGCCCTATCCAGATGCTCCAGCCAGAGAACCTGCTGCCGTCGAAGTGGAGCTGCTAAGGCTCAGGCCAGCTGCTCTTGGAGGAGTCAGGGAGGAGGCCATGGGGTGGGCAGGGCCGGCCAGCCTCTCTGGCATCTTCCCGTTGTCCGTCGTGTGGATGGTGGGATGGAAGTCCACCGCTCCCCGGGCTGTGTTAAGAATATACCTTCGCTGGGTTCATTCTGCACAGGTTTGGTGCAGGACTGTAGGCATCTGCGGTTGCAGAGCAGATGACCCCAAATATCGCAGCTCAACAGGGGCCTGGCTGTGACTAGCTGGGCCCTCTGCTCTGGGCCTCTCCTGAGGATGTCCCTAGGGCATCCGCTGGGCCACAGATGTCTCAAGGCTAGGTTGGGGGGGCTCTTCTTCAAAGATGGCTGAGTGGCTGTCATTGGCGAGAGGCCTTTGTCCTCCATAGCACAGTGAGGAGTGGGGAGAGAGGGAAGGGGACAGAGAAACTGAGAGAGGAGCCAGCACAGCAGGCCAGGGGAAGGCAGAGTTGGGGCAGCAAGCTGATCCCACAGTGACATGTGTCCCCTCCTCTGTGTTGTGGGTCACTAGATCTAGCCTAACCCAGGTGAGGAGGGGCCTGGACCCCAGGAAGCAGGGACACTGGGGGCCTTGGCCCCTTGGGCTTGAGCCTCTTCCCACCCCTGGGAGCCCGCTTCTGTTCTTTTAAAATTTACTCTTACTCTTGCTGAATATAAACTAGGAAGTGTGGAAAAGGAGAAAGTAACTGTGATCATTCATAATACTCTTACCCAGAGATAATTATTTCTAACAATTGATTATATTTCCCTCTAACTCTTCATACTTTACTGATGAGCTGCAGTATTTGAGGTCGTCTGCTCTGTAGCCATATTGTGCATATGTATTGGCCCCCTTCATCAGCAGATTCAGCCAACCCTAGATCAAAATTACTTCAAAAAAGTTGTCTCTGTCCTGGACGTGTACAGACATCCCTGTCATTTTTTAAAGAGTGATTTTCCATGTCATTTATACTGTATTAAGTATTGTAAACAACCTAGAGATGATTTTGTGCTAGGTGATGTGCAAATACTATCTTGTTTTATATAAAGGGCTTGAGCATCTTCAGATTTTGGTGCCCAAGTGCAATTCTGGAGCCCGTTTCTTGTGGGTCCTCTAGGATGGATGCCATTTTACAACTTGAGTGTCTCACCGTCCTGTGTGGATTTTCCTTTGTCCAGAGCCCCTGGTGTCTGGAGTGCTCTCCGAGTGAGTCAGGGATGGCCTGTCCTGAGAGCTGTGCTCAGGCTGCTCAGCAGACTCACTGTGTTCTGGGAAAGAGGGGCTTGCTAACTGTGTATGACTGCTGAGGGCACCTGCTACCTGCCCAGGAGAACAAGCTGCTCTGGGGGCTCAGCCTTGTCCCTTTGGGCGTATCAATAAAACATCTCCCTGTTTGATGGTGAGCAGTGGATGTCATTGCTCCTAGTCCTGAAGTCTAAGGAGATCAAGCCAGCCATTGTGCACAGTGGCTTTTTGCCATCAGTCACCTGCCTTTTATAAGAAGCTGTTCTGATTCTTTTAATTTTTTTAGTAGAATATCCCTAATTAATTTCATTTCATTGAAAGTATATGATTGCATTTTCCTAGAAGTCCTGTCCTGCCTTATTTTGCCTCCAATTCAAACTGTCTTCCTTCTGATGAGTCTGAAGTGACGGTTGGCCTGAGATACTTCATTTTATTTTCATTTTGCACTTTTGAAAATTGTGGTAAAAAACCCATAACATTAAATCTGCCTATGATCTCACTCATTTTCAAGTGAACAGTTCCGCCACATTAAAAGCACATCATTGTGTAAGCCCGTCTCCAGAACTCTTTCCAACTTGCAAATCTAAACCTCTCTGCCCTTTGGCAACGAGGGCCCAGCCTTGCTCCTGCTGCCCTGGCCACCACTGTTCACTTTTGTATCTATAAATTTAACTATTCTTGAAGCCTCCTATAAGTGGAATCATACAATATGTGTCTTTTTGTGTCTGGCTTATTTAATTTAGCACCCTGCCTTCAACGTTCAACCAATTTGTAATATGTATCAGAATCCAATCTTTTTAAAGGCTGAATGATATTTCACTGTGTGTGTAAATCACATTTCATCTGTTCATTTGCCAGTGGATAATTACGTTTTTCTGCCTTTTGCCTGTGGCAAATTTGTTTTCATTTCTAAATGGGATATTTTGATCTGTTTCAGGGCAAGAAGCTGCCTTATCACCTTGGGGATGACGCAGAGGAAGGGGAAGTTTCTGACGAGGACAGTGCGGATGAGATTGAAGACGAGTGCAAGTTTAAGCTCCAATGTGTGAGTGATGGCTGGGCCGTGTCACCCTCGGTGCACTGCAGTAGAGTGGTTCTGAGTCAGTCTTCACAAGCGTGGCCTCATGGTGTGGGAAGGCAGAAACTCCTCCATGTCCGACACGTGCCCATGTGGCCTGTTAGTGAATGAGCAAGGGTCCTTAGGCTTCAGGACTGGAAGGCATGTGAGGCACTCACCTGATCCTCTCCAGAGGCAAAGGCTGTCCTATTGCAACACGGTTAAAAGTCACATTCAGGTTGTAATGTCAGTGTCTTTGGTGAAATAGGTGAGTTGTGACTCTCCTCCTGCTGGTCAGGGCCAGCCTCAACCCCAACTTTCCTGGCCTGCTTCTCTAGGGGGCCCTCTCCTCCCGAAGAGAATGGACTGTCGCTCAGAGGATTTCCCACCCCTTCCAGGCCTGGGCTCCTGGCTGAATGTGTGACTTGCCACATCCTAAACAATTTGGCCCAAAATAGCTAGTCACCTGCCTGGGGCTTCAGACCCCCTTCTGAGATCAAGAAGCTGCTTTTGTAGGAAAGTCCCACTCACCCACATGGTCCAGGGAGATGGAAGGCTCAGAGATGCGCCCTGCTCTGCCTTCTGTAGCTCACCTGGTTGCCAGGACGGGCCGAGAGTGGCACAGGCTGGTGCAGGACCTAGCATTTCACTTCTATAGGAAAGTGGCGTGCCTTTAGACATCAGGGCTATTGTGTCGTCCCCCAGAAAAACAGATAATTGCCTGTGCTTTCTCCTGACACGTTCCATTTTTAGCAGTAGGCTGTTTTCTTCTCGACCACACTCACCATGATGCCTCACCTGAAGGGTCAAGGGGGACCTGGCATTATTTTAAAGGGACAAGAGTTCAGTAGCAGCTGAGGTTTCAGTAGACACTGCCTTCCTGGTTTTTATGCACTTTCAGGGGTGAATTGGGGAAGATCGGTTTGAAATAAAAAAAAGGAGAATTGTTATTTGCATTCATCTTTTGCCCTTTAATAGTTTATGTTTAGCTCAGTTTTATATCCCTCATTAACAGGGTGATGGTCACAGAAAATCTGAACAGATTTCCACACCTGAAATGCAGTTAATATTTTAGATAGCTTTTTATTTGATCTTCTATCTAACAATTTTTATAATTAATTACTTGGATAATTTAGCCTTTTTTTTTAAGCTTTATTTCAGAAACTGGATCTTTCTCTGATTCTTAGTGTTTTATTTGTATGGTGTTTCCCAGGTCCCTGGGTTGCCAGCCTCAGCCACTCTATCATTCAAAAGCAGGAAACAGGCTCAACCATGTCGCATGTTTAGGAAATGCTGTTGGTTGTGAAAGTGAGTGGAGGAAATTTACTGTCACAACATTGTCATTATTGGTTGTTTTCGCTCCTAAATCTGCCCTGCTGTGCCATTTTTCTTCTAAGGTCACACACCTTATCTGGGTTCCCCTCATGTTTGGTCCTTTAGCTGATTTCCAGTAGATAGCTTAGCACATGATTCCATAAAGGTAAGCGCGATCTTTCATTTGGCCTAAATGAAAGTGGACACATCCCCTTAAATGGAAAGGTTTACAGTTGCCTTTTTCTCGTATTTTCCTTTGGGAAGGAAAATTTGTAAAGAAATCAACATTTTTTAGTGGAAATATATAAAGCTTTGTATCTTTACTCACCTTTTCCATCTCTGTTTCTGAGGCTCTTTGGAGATAGGCAACTCTGTGTTCAGAAAGCCAAAACATTATCTTATAATCAGGCCGTCTGTAGTCCTATTGTTAGCAGAGAGTTCAGCTGTCTTCTGGGGCAGTGAATTGAATTATGCCCCATCATATTTCTGTACAAAATGTGCATTGTTTACGTAAACCAAAAATTACCTTGTAGAAAGGTCTGAACCTCAGTTTTTAGTTAAGAGTGTGATTAGATTTCTAAGTGAGATCTGAATTGCTGCAATAAATAAAGATTTGAGGTCATCAATTGTGCCTGCAACACAGTTCTCATGAGGTTATATAAGACTCTTTGTACATTCAGTGTATTTTTCCTGAGCATCTCCTATTGGAAGTACACTCATCACCTTTGCAGGTGTTGGGGGACAGACCCATCAACAGAACAGGCCAAAGTCCTTGCTTTGTGTGGGTCACACATTCATGGAAGAAGGACCGACTAGACAGGGGCATGTAGAATAGCGTTAGGTGCCCAGGGGAGGTGTGCACTGGCGTGCCTGCATGAGAGCTCATAGACCTCTGTGTGAGCACGTAAAGGGTGTGTGGACATGGGAGATAGGCATCCAGGGAAGGCCTCACTGAGAAGAGACATTGGACCACAGACTAGAAAGGAGTGAAGAGTTGGCCAGGCCAGTACACGAGGAGGACCTTAACAGGTGAAGTTGGAAGCAGGACTGTATCTTAACCAGAATCAGGTTTTTGTTCATGCAACAAGTGCTTTCTGTTGTTGGATTAGTTGAGTCCTTGAAGCTTCTTCCTCGTGTTATTTTGTAGCTTCAGCCATAGAGAAAATCTGGCTTATGATCTGTAAGCCACAAGCTAAAGGCATTGTGTCCAGGGACCCAGGGATCACGACTCAAAGACACTGGGTGCAGTTTCCTTTCACCTACAGTACAGTAGTCCCATAGATTTGATTTAGGGTGGCCAGCTCTCTACCATCCATCCTTATGGGACTCCAGTGTTGCTGTGCCTCACGGACTTCCCACCCATCACTGGCTCTTTTCCTCTTCTGCTGAGTTTTTCAGTATTTTTTCCCTGCACTCTCTGAGCCTGCGTTCAGCTGACCTCTTGGGCACAAGCATCCACTCCAAACACCAAGCCTTCCATCTTCTTTCCTAAGTCGTCCTCTCAGGCTTTGAGCTACTTTCAGAGGAATCATGGATCTTGTTAGTCTAAAACTTAATCAGCACTCACTGAGGGGGTAGGTTACCTCAAGTTTGTGAGGTCTTTGCTACTGAAAATGTCCACTCTGGGACCACCAAAAGCCAAACAGTCCAACTAATAAATGGGTGAGTGAATTAGACATTTCTCAAAAGAGGAAATACAATGGCCAACAAATACCTGAAAAAATGTTCAACCTTCTTAGCAATCAGGGAAATGCAAATCAAAGCTACACTGAGATTTCATCTCACTCCAGTCAGGATGGCAGCCATCAAGAATACAAACAATAACAAGTGCTGGAGAGGATGTGGAGAAATTGGAATACTTTCACACTGTTGGTGGGACTGTAAATTAGTACAGCTGCTATGGAAATCAGTATGGAGTGTCCCAAAAGACCAGGCATGAATCACTGAATGACCCAGATATCCCACTCCTCAGTATTTGTCCTAAAGAATTAAAGTCATCACACTACATGATTTTAGCAGTGCAATTCACAATAGCCAAACTATGGAACCAGCCTAGGTGTCCACTGATGGATGCATGGATAAAGAAAACGTGGTAAGTATGCCCAATGGAGTTTTACTCGGCTATACAGAAGAATGAAATTATGTCCTTTGTAGGAAAATGTATGAAACTGGAAACCATTATGTTAAGTGAAATAAGCCAAACTCAGGATCAAGATTCAGCATGTTTTCTCTCACATGAAGAAGCTAGAAAGGAAAAGAAAGTTGGGGGGATATCATGAAAATCAAAGGGAGATCAGTAGAGTAAGGGACTAAGGGGTGAGATGTGGGGAGGGAGGGGGACATGCTGGGGAGTGACACTGGCCAAATTTTATTGTTCTGTATTATGTACACTTACAAAAATATAAATAAAATATAAATATAAACAATATGTAAACAAATTTCCATCAATATGTATGACTATGATACACCAATAAGAAAGGTGGAATATATATAAACATTATTTGGATGTTCAGAAGAAAAAAAAAAGACCCCTAACCTGGGACTTCCACATAATCCCTGGGGGCTCCCTGTGCATGGGAAGATCAGCTCCCTGTGCTCCGGTGAAGATCAGCACCCGCTGACCTGGGCCCTCCCTTCCCTGCTTCTTCTGGGTCAGGAGCAGGTGCACCTTCTGCTCTTCAAGCGATGCTTTAGTTCCGTGCTGGAGAGAGAACAAGATTGTGTTTCCTGTTCAGTTGCTTGATTCGTGGCAGACAGATTCCTAGCTCAATTTCACCTCTCAGAAAAGGAAATTGGGAACCCTGATTACCTCTCTGATGGAAACTGCCCTTGACTGTATTAAATGGCCGCTACCTCCGCCCCTGGTGGCCGCGCCCTACCTCCCTCACTGGCCAGGGGGACAAGAGTGAGATACACAGCTCTCAACTGTGGTCGCTGGGTCTCAAGGTCAAGTGTCTGTCTCCGCTTTCTTTCCGCAGTGCTATTGGGTTCCGGGATGGAATGACAATGCAGTAATGAAGCCCAGCCATGTGGTTGTTTGTTCTCCATGACTGTAGTTTTTTTGGGGGGTGGGGGTGGGGGTGGGGGGCTGTAAATCACAGGGAAGAAAAAAGATGGACAGGCAGAGATCTTTCCTTCAGCAACACCCCGTGTGTGGAAGGTGTGGAGGGGGAGCAGTGCGTGTTCCTACCTCCTGCCCTAGTTGATCTGACTCTTCTGACAGAAGGAGGGTCTCTGCCGTGTCACAGCACATCTCCTTATCTGTCCGACTTTGCAAGGCCCCGGCGCGGGAAGGAAACCCTCTGTGCTACCAGGCTCGCCAGGTGCTCACATGCTTTCTCCTTTGTCCTCACATCACCCACACTCCCCACCGGGCTCTGGTCAGTTGAGCAAATGCAATGGGGATTGGAGACCTGGGCTCTGTTGGCCTGCATTTCCTGCAGAGGGTTTGCAGAGTGTGCCAAGGATTCATGATGGGAATCAAGGTTGCTTAAAACATTCACCTGTGCAGGATTAGCTTGACCCAAGAATTCACCTTGCTCTCTAACCCTCTTTATATCCCCGAAGCATTGAATGGTGAAGCACACATGAGTCTGACAGAAGTGTCAGGTTCCAGGCTCTGCTCACCCACAGGGCAGGTTTAGATGAGTATGGCTGAGTCTTCCTGCCTCTCT